AACCTGTCCATTTTCAATCTGAAAGTCAAAAGGGTTTTTCCCACATCTTGAACTGTCACCTTTAGCTTAAGAACCACTTTAGTTTACCTGTCATAGATAAATATTGAAACACAGCATTTCTTAGATTACCAGTAACATCCATTCAAATTCATTCAGCATTAGGAAAAGTACTCAAAACTGATATGCAGGATATGGTAAATCCACAGTGTATCCCCTACCTAAGGATTTATCTTGCTAGCTTCATTCCATCCTTTTGTAACTTAAGAGATTGAAGCAAGCACTGTATGACTGACATATTTTAATACAGCAACTTCATTCAATTCCACTATTTAATAAAAATAGGAGAAAATATCACCCTACTTGTAATATGCAACCACATTCGCTGACAACTTCAACAGCTGCAGGCAACTCTGCAAAGACTGCTCATGGAACCACAGTTCAGGGAAACAAAAATTTGAGATCCATATGTGACACAGTAACAAAATATTACCAGCAGGCTATTTCCATAAAAACACTGCAAAATCTTTTTTTGCCAAAACAATTGCAATCTTTATAATCAATTAAAAATTTTTAGATTCTTCAAAGTCAGGTGTAAGCTGATGGCTGCTGTTGTCCCTACATTATTTCTATTAGTGTGAATTTGTCTTAGAGCTGTGAAGTACTTTCAGAAATGAGGTATTGACTGAATATACCATCTTGAGCATAATCTTTTTTTGTCATTACACATCACCTTGTTACAGTGGTTTTCCATTTTGACAGACTCAATAGCTCAGTTTTGTTCTATGCAGAATTCTGTTGTGTTCTGCCAGTCACTTGGTATCAGGAAATGTTTGCAGTGCATAGCAGTTTATTGAAGTAAAATAGGTAAAGACACAGCTCAAGGGTAGTGGGACTTCTAAGAGCAAGTAATGACTGAGGATCTTCAGAACCATTCTTCCAAAAAAGGATTTTGAGATAGGAGTCATCAAGGTAGAAACCTAAAGGATAGATAAAAATTACTTATTCACAATCTGATGGTTTGAGTTACTACATTATGGTATCATATATGTCAGAAGGCAATTAAGTTTAAGTGATCCACTGCATTTAGTCAATATAAATGCAGTACTTCTGTTTTCTTCTTCATATCTAATAGGTTGCAATAAAAGTAAAAATATTCTGAAGTAGCCAGCTTGTTTTACTTTTTATTAATTTAATTCTTACAGAACTATTTCTTCCAGTTGCCTGAGATTCTTCCAAGAAAACAAAAGCCTGCAATGGTGTACTGGTTTTCCACACAATAATTACTTCTTTCATGGCTATTTCAGAAGACCAACTTTAAAGATGCAGATACTTTTAACATGAGTTAAGGGCTGTCTCCAAATGCATTAGAGCAGCGTAACATTTTGTACTCCAGTGCACATGTTCTTCATCACTTGAGTGCAAAAGCTTCATTACAAGACCATGAAAGTGACTTGGAGCAGCAGCAGATTCAACTCCCTGCCTTTCAAAAGCTTCAGCTAAATCCGAAGAAATTTTAAGGACTCTAGAGCTAGGCAACTTGGACTCAATGATCCTTGTGGGTCCTTTCCAAATCAGCATACTCTGCAATTCTGTGAACTTCCTTTGAACATCTTCAAGAGCACAGACTCATCCCAATTGTGGTAGCAGAAAACTCTGAGCCAGACAAGGCTTTGCACTGTAGGGTAACAGAAAAAAATGAGAAGGCAAAAATGTACAGATGGGAATCAGGATATTCACCTAGACCTGGAGAAAGCCTACAACTACTGTTTAGTGCCTAGCTGTGATCAAATAACCACACTGAAAAAAACTATCAAGGACCATATTCCAAGGCTTCTCAGGCTGCACAGAAATCTCCTATTTCCCAGCAATGATTTAGACTCCTGTCCTTCTTTTCTGTTTATAGTGTAGAGACAGAACCAATCTCTCCTTTCTATTAGAAGAATTCTGCTACCTCTGTGGGAAGAGACCAAAAAAGCGTGAAAGAGCTAGTAGTGAGTGGGTGGAGTGCTTCTGTTTTCAGTCTGTTGTACAACAGCACCATCCAGCTGTCAAACAAAAAAGTTATCAAACATTAATGCCACTATCCAGATTTGGTCCTTGTATCACAAGCAAAATGAGTAATTATAGATATTTTAGAAAAAACAAACCAAAACCCAACCCACAGGTCCCTTCCCTGTTTCTTAATTAATTACGTTGATCCACTGTGTTACACTTTCTGGGTTAACATACAAGAGTGTGCTTTAGGGAAATTAATAATGCAGCCCAGTTTTGGTTTTTTTCATCCAGTAAGAGTGGCAAGCTGCAGCTTACCTCTGTTTCATGAAGTGTGGAATGTAAGCTCTCAGGTATGAGGAAAAGACCATTATCTTTGGCTCACAACCAAAGGTAGTTAATCACACTACAAAACTTAATGGAAAAATCTCAACCCGTAAGAGCCTGTGTTTAAGCTATCACTCTTTACCACTCAAGCTTCAGCAGTGAAAGCAAGAACAGCAACCTCAAGTGAAGAATAAAAAGAATAAAAACTCATACTCAAGTAACTGATCACTTCTGAGACATTACAACATGAGGAAGAAAACTCCTTGCTCCCCCAAGATTTTTCATAAACTTGTGTTATTTAACAGTAAGGAATATGCAATGCAAATAAATTATATTCTCTACAACAGATGACTGATTACCTGAATTAAAGCAACAAGGTAACTGCTTAAATTTCCCTCAGTTCTACATTAAACTCATTTTTGTTGTAACATCCACTGGGAGCCTACCATGTACATCCACTGATGATCAGAAGACTACTGTTCATGCATTACATGTGCCTTAGCCCATCCTGTGAGCCCACATTCTGGCACTGATACCTGAAAGTAGTAATGCATCTCCTCTGATTTTTTGAAGACAAGTACTAGTTCTTTACAAACACTTTACAAAGCAGCACAGGGTACCTATCAATGCCAAAAGATAGGCCAGTCATCCTTTAAAAGAAAATAACATTAGTGGAAGCTTTCTGAGCAAATCTTGTCAGAAAAAAAACCAAGTTTTAAGTGCAACAGTTAACCTAAGAGAAAGAGCATTTCTATATGCAAAGAAAACCTGAAAAGAAATCCTAGGATAAATGAGATGACATTGAGGAACTTGAGCTTATGCAAAGAAGAATCAGCATACCCACATCGAGAACGATACAATGTTTTTCTTGCACATAAAATATACTGTAGATTTTAACATAAGCCCAGAATTTAAGAGCACAGCAACAGAAAAACAGCAAGTACTAGAATAGCAGTTAAAGCCACAGGAGCAAAGAACATGTCCAAAGATACAACAGAGGTGGCAAATGACAAACCTTTGCCAAGTAGGAGAGAAGGTGCCCTTAGACACCAAGGGAGGCAAAAAGCCAGAAAGGCAGCAAAGGCAGGAGAGTCTGAAGAGACACAGCCCTAGGGAAGAGGACAACTGCTCCCCAAAATCCGCAGATGAACAAGATCAAAGAGAGGCATGGTTAATGAGGAAGTATTATGGCTAAGTTTAATGAAAGCAAGAAGTTCTCTCACTATGAAAGAACACAGAACACACGACCTTCAAAAGGAGCTATATTAGAAAGTCACTGCAAGACTACGTCATTAGATCAGAGACAGAACAAAGGTACTAGAAAAAAACTGCAATGAGAACAGACCAAAATATTAAAATCAGTCAAAAAAAGAACTGGTGTCAAATGGGCAAAAAAATTAGGAAAAAATGGTATGTAGGAAGGTATTAAAAGATAGCAAGGATGTGGCAGAAAAGAGCAAGCCCTTGAATGTGGAATGAAAGTATCTTCAGCTGCACACACAGGGGAACAAAAAAAAAACAATAAAAACCCCAAAAACAAAACAAACCAACCTACCAAAAAAAAAAAAAAACCAAAAAACAACAAAGCACCAAAAAACAACCAACCAAAGATGACAACAACAACAAAAACCAAACAAACAAACAAAAAAGAAACCAACTACAAAAAGAGGAAAATGTCAAAGTCTGCACTTTAGGCGAAGAGAAAGTAATTTGAAATAAAGAATCTTATGGTCTTGATGGAAGAAAGTACATTTTCCTTGCCAGGAACTGACAAGAGAACTTGTGACATGTTTGAAGGCTGTACAGCTTTGCTTGGAGAATTTCATACTCAAAAGGCATAGAGTTACACACTCATTCCAACGGAGAGGGTAGGATCAATCAATTTCAAAATTCAGATGTAAACAGAGAGCAGAAAGGAAGAGCAAAAGCAGATTTTGTGGAGTTACTAGTCAGATCAAACAACAAGGAAGCAGCCTAAAATCACTGCAAGCATAGAAATAGGCCTACAGTGGAAAGAAACAAGACAAGCCAGACAGGAGAAACAGAAAGCCATGAACTCTTTCCAAAACAGTCTAAATAGAGAGACAACACTTTTACACCATCCTTCATGAGGTCAGCCAGAGTTCTGCCAAGATGATCCCAGTAAGAACTAAAGGATTTCACATGGAACCTGAGCTCATGACAGTAGTTTTTCTGTTTTATCATAGGACACAAGCTTTTAAGCCAGAACACCAGAAGTTAAAAAGTAAAAAACACTGCTTTCACTAGACAGCAACCTGTTTACATTTATTAGTAGTTCAATTTAGCTAAAAAAAAAAAAAACAACCTTATTTAAGATTAGAGTACCTGTTTAAACTGAGCTTTGTAATCTTGTATGAGTAAGCATTTCCAAACCCCAGGTTTCAGCTGTCCAGAGTCTTAGATAGATGTACTATAGTTAAACCTGCCATGTCACTCAGAGGATCTGTTTACATGTCTGCAAGTCCCCCCTGCCTGCCCGCCACCAAAGTATCTATTTACTATCCGCAGAAATTACTATGCAGCTCAGACCTGAGGAGTTCACTTTTATCTTCACCAGTCCCTCTAACCTTCTAACTAGCAGAGCTTGCACATCTGACTTACTGCAAGCTTCTGCTGTCACTGACAAGTGCAGTGGGAGACCCAAGGACAAGCTTGTTGGATTTAGGATTTTACTTAATGAACAGTCTTATTTAAACTGAGGACACAAAATTCAACATACGAAAATAGTGATGAAATCACACATAGTAAATCCATACTATTGAGCAGAACAGCTGAGTGCAAGAAACATGTTGCATGTACCAGTTCTCAACCTGCTGCATTCTTAGAACTCAGAACCACACTGCAATGCTCACCAGCCCATTGTTTCAAACAGGCTTTCTTCAAGTCCCATTAATTTTATATTTAGCATTTCACAGCAAGGTAGTTTCTACTTCCAAAAGTTTCTACACAAGCTGCAGTGAGACCCGTATCTTCCAATAAAGAGAGGCCAGGTTCCTATGACAGGAAGTAGGAACAAACCCAGGGAAGCTCTATCCTAGAAAGCTCACACATTTCAAAATTTGAGATCTTATTTTAATCCAACAGATGGCAACTGTAAAATCCAGTTCTTAAACTTGCTGCTGCTAAGTCTTCATATGTACAATGACAACAGTCCATCAATTCAGGTTTCTAGTCAGTAGGGCTTCTCCATTGATTCCAAGATTTTCTTTCGTTCTTCTGCTGAGGGCATCTCTGGTTTCACACCATTTCTCTTCCTTTGCATCATAATTCCATGCTGAAAATAGAACAAAGTGACCATGAGAACAGATTGCCCTGAGCTCTGAATGAACAAGATTCTTTAATAGAAAAATGCTTCATATATCAAGACCTAGGTATTCTAAAAGCCTAATTAGCTGGTAACTAAATGTACCAGTAGTTAGTTCAAGATACCTGATAGTTTACCTTGCTGCTCCAGAATACAGTCCAATCAGTATTCCCATTACTCTATGCCAGACCAATGCACAATTGTCTGTAAATAGTTTTTTTTCTAATTTGCATAAGTATTTAAAGGCCAAGCAAAAAACTCTTTACTTCAATGGTATAAGGAAACAGCAGAAAACAGTTTAACTGCACATGAATCTTCATGGTATTTCTCCACCACCAAATAAGCTTTATATCAGGTTAAAGTAAACATGATCCAAGCCAGTGGGAAACTAGATAACCTTACCTTGCCTCAGAATTTTTTCACTGCATCAGTTTAAGAGAGAACTTATTACTAGAAATATGTGACTCAAGTTCAGAGGAAAAAAATCAGGTACTGCAAGAACACTGACTCACAATCTAAGAGAGTAAACCCAGGACAATCAAGTGAAGGACTTTGATGTGCATGAGCTTAAAGTCTTACAGCAACGCATACTGATACTACCTGGGCTAGTAAGTTACCATAAAAACATCATTAGCTGAGTTTGAAGGGTTTAGAAAGCAGCATGTCAGAAGTAATGTACATAAAGCAAAGCAGGGAGTAAAATTTAGAAAGTTTACTGTGCTTACCCAGAATTTTCTGCAGTTTTTGTACTTCAAAAAATAATCAGTACACATATCCTTGTTATAGTTGTTGTCATCCATACATTTTGTAGTGGCATCTGTTTCCTTTAATAGGGGAAAACATACTTCAGAGCTGAGGGAAGTTACTGTACTCAGTGTTTAAATATTTTAACAAGTCCCAGAATAACTATGAAGATAGGAGTGAGCTCTTCAGATGAAAGAGCACTATCAAAGAGAGCAAAGTAACACCTATTACAAAGGATCATCAGTACTTCCAAGCAGTGATTTAATTTGGAGATAACAGTGAATAGTACTCTTCAGACAGTAAGTGCAGAGTCCATAGAATATTTGTTTACAATAATGCTTAGTATAACTCACAAAAGACTTTTAAGAAATAACCAAGCTTGTCTAACCAGGATTTCAGGCTCTGGTTTTAGGGACAGAAAATTTAAGAGACTGCCAGCAGTTGTATTATTCCTATTTATGGGGAATTAACTTGTTATTTCATGCTTATTATAATGGATGATTTTCAGCCCTTCCCATCTTCAGACTCTAAAGAAACTTTTAATGTAAAGTGCTATAATGCCAGTGTGCTATCCACAAAACAGTCCCCTAGAAAGTGCATTATTTGGCACTGAAATGTACAGACAGAAATCTCAATTTGATCATCTTACCGCTAGACATGGATTTATATCGTGATCTCTAAGCTTTTTTGCATGCCTGGACATTCTAGACAGACACTCGTACCTTGGCTAGAAAGGGAAAATAAACAGGTTAAGTATCTACTTTTAACATTAACTCAGGATTAAGTCTGAATTTCAGGATGTAATAAAGGCCTTCCAGCAACACACAGTTTTGTTATCTTTAAAAAAAACTAAACAAAACAATAAACCTTCTTTTGCAAAGTGTTATTTCAACAGCAAGACAACACTGGCAAGTTTAGCCCATTGCCAAGACTGCTCATTACCTGATAAATTCCTGCAGAGAACGGAGCCACTGCAGCTCTCACACCAGCCTGTGTATGATGGAGGAAGTGACCACGTGTAGGAGAAACAGCTCCATAGAAGCTTTCACAGCCAACACACTGTAGACACTTCAATTAATAGTGTGTGGGAGGAATGTACAAGTAAACTTTTCCAGATTTGTTCCTACTCCTTCACTGGATCACATCTGCATCATCACTGAGCTTTCCCAGGTACGAAAAGTGCCCAACTATCTCCTGTGTTGTTATAGCAAATATTTAATAGAAAAAGAACTGGTTTCACCGCAAGGTGGGACCAGACCCACTTACACTGTATATGACAGCTTGAATCACATTTTTTACCATTTAGTAGTTTGACACTGACTCTGTAAGCTTGAGAGACACAGAGTTCAGTGCCAAGACTCCACACTGATCCAAGATGACATCAAGATCAACAGCAGACCCTCTTTCCCTTTACAGCTTCCTATACATTGCCTCCAGCACACATATGGTGATACAGGTATGTTCCAAACAAATACTAAATGTAGCAAAAAATAAATTAATGGTGACCAGATGACTGCTTGAATCAATGCAATCAGAAACACAGGACGGAGGGAGAAAATGAAAATTACTGCTAATGAAGGGCACAACTTAATCTTGTTGGTTTTTCCTTTCTTGAAAAAAATCGGTGCTAATCTTTAACTTCGACCTGTTGCTGTGCACATTATGGAATGATAAGTGCAAGTCTGCAGTAAAAAGCCAGTATTGCTTGATATCACATTAAAAAAAAATAATTCAAACACTGCTCTTTGTAGTTCATAGTAAACCATGTTTTAGATGGGGTTTCTTCTTTGGTTAAGAGTAAACTATTCCCAGCAAACAAGCCCTAGGTTTTACAAGCTGTGCATATATACTTTCCTGGTGCTTGGAGTACTCTTTGCTTTCCATGTAATTATCTTCTGCAAATGGGCCTTTTAATTAACAGCATGGGGGGGGCGGGGGGGTAAATGCTTTCACTTTCCTTTGAGAACTATCCAGTGCTTAAGTTAATTTCACAAGGCAGGCTAATGTTCTCTTTTTTGATGGGTGGAAGTGCATTTTTGAGGAGGCACTTCCAACTCAAATGGAAACACAAGCAGGTATACTAGCATCATCACAGACTTCGAGAAAGGAGGAGAGAAGGGAGAAGTAGGAAGCAAAAGAAGCATACCACAATGTCTTGCCTAACTCACCACAACAGAAACAAGATTTTTTTACATGTTTGCATGTGTCTGTGCATTTCATTGCTAGCACCACCTAAGCAGACATGCCTCAAGGTGTACAGTGTCACTCTGACTTCAGACTTACTCTCTGAAAGAATACTTGTGAGTCATAGGACCGGGCCATAATCAGTGTTCCTTATACAAACTGCACTTGACACTTTCAGTTTGATTACACTACCAGAGTCTGCAACCGTGCCCGGTCTAAGGAACAACGCACACAATCCATTAAACACCTACTTAACGAATAAGCAGTTCAGGTTCTAATGAAGATGCACAGCTCGGAGCAGGCAAATGCTTAAACATTCTTGGTACTACACTAAAGGTCTGATAGCTCCTGCGCGTGTTGCCCTCTCCCCCTCTCCGAAGTACTTCAGACTTGAAACATTATCAGCTGGAAGGGCAGGCGGGTCACGCCGAAATGCTGCTGTGCGACTGAATGAGCAGTTGGGCAGGAAGCGAGCTTCCCCCTCCTCCCAGGTTCTGCACATGTACGGGCTTCCCTTCCTGCTTTCAGATTACAGGTCAGAGCCCAACCACAACCGAAGGCTTGTCTATGCCACAGTTCTTAAGTATGCTTTAACACATTAACAGTTGTAAACTGTACCACAGAGAACCAGGGCTGTTGCTGGCACTCTTTAACCCTAGGGCTTTTTCAGTTCATAAACCATCAGGGCACTTCGCTGCAGGCCCCCGCCCATTGAAAAGCGTTTGGTCTGCTTTAAATGCACACATACAGATACAAATTCGCTAATTATGCTGCAGTGCAGACCAGCTCATTAAAACTTTGAAGCCTGGAGCCAAGGCCGTACTAAAATTCCTACGGCATTTTGGGCTGTTACGGCGGCGGAGGCAGGAGGAGGCAGCCGGCGGTCCCTGACGCTCAGCACCGCGGAGCTGTCGCCTTGCCCAACTCGGCTTCCCGGGGAAGGCCGGGGGCCGTCCAGGTGCGGAGGCGAGGCCGGCGCTCCCCCGCCTGGTCCCTGCCTGCCGCCGGCGGCGGAGCGGCCGGAGGCGCCCGGCGACCCCTTCCCCCGCCCCGGGTCGTTCCCCGCGGCCGCTCCCGCCGCCTCCCCTCGGCACCACCTGCCGCCAGGGAGCGGTGCCCGGGCCGCGCCGCCGCCGGGCCCGAGCGGAGCTGCCCCGGCTCGCGGACGGCGAAGGTCGAGCGAGACTTCCCAGCGCCGGCCGGGAAAGGGAAGCGGCCGGCGGGCACGGCGCGGGTCGCCGCCGGCGGCACTCACCTCCGTCCCCGGCCGTGTCCGCTGGAGCCCGGGGCGGGAGCGGGGCAGCCCGTCTCCAATTCGAAAGACGTCAGCGGCTCGGGCAGCGCGCTTAAGTACGGGCGCAGCCTACCCCGCTCCCGGCCCCGCGGCTCCCCCCGGCCCCGCGCCGCCGCCGCCCACGCCCCGGCGGCTCTGAGTGGCACGGCCGGGCCGCCA